AAACAGTCTCTGGCAGATGATACAATTGTATACTAGAAAATCCAAGAGAAAAAAAAAAAAGAAAACCCAACCCCTCCTATGCTGTATTGCCTCTAAAGATTTTAATTTCACTTCACTTTTCAAGAGCTGTGTGCCCTCACCTAAATCAGGGATTGAGGTTCTATTAAAGACTCAACTAGAAATCAATATTGTTAGAACTCCAAAGAAGTTAGGAATCATTATACTACATCTTTACTTAAGTCTTCATGGTTTGCGAATCTGAAAATCCTAAGATGTGTGGGAAAGTAGATCTCAGACGCCAGGCACAATGGATAAACAGTGAGGCCTCACTCCTACCCCAACACTTAAGCCCGTCCGTAGATGGAACGACCATTTCCTGTGTCTTGTGATTCCTCCAGAGATTGTCTGTACTTATACGAGTGCATACACACACAGGCACACGAAAGGTAACTTCCTGAACTTCTTTTCCCCGGCAGAGGAAAATGGATGTGACTAAAAGTGTCAAAACTCAGACGAAAATAGATGTGGATGAAAGTCCTACAGGCCGGACGACAGCCACAGAAGACTACAGCAACCTGACGGAAACAGCTCTGGCTTCAGTTAACAGGGCCGTCACTGATGCTGTTAAGGCTGTAGAAGGTAGGAATCCTGTTTGGGCACCTAGAGGATGGCCTCATATAACGAATGCCACACGACCCCGGTAACTAACAAATTCACACCTTGTTTGCAGAAGCTGAAAACCCCATCAGAAACATCACCTGGATCACACACAGTGAATTCACAGAAGAAAGAGGCCGTGAACAAATTGAAGAGTTCATTTTGGTAAGTCAGTTGACTAACTCCAGCTTGGCAAACAAGGGGGAAGAACAATGAAAAAGGCTCTTGTTTGACGAAAAGTTTGAAGTCCAGAAACCCTAGGAGACAATATCAAAGGGGATGAGAATAAGTAAACACTGCCTTCCCCTGGGTTCCAAAATCAAACTCTAATAGTCTTTGAAGGTGAAAAGCACAATCGTATTTTCCAGTGTTTGTCCATTTCCCTAGGAAAATCTGATATTCCCAGTTAAGCAGTTTTTCCCTGCTGGCACTCTATTGGAGGGACACCTAGCTGTCTAAGGAGGATGCTGCTCTCCCAAAACAGGAGCTGCCCATCACTGACATATAAACAGAGGGGATGTGGATGGATCAAAACTCTTTTTTCAGCTTTGGAAGGAAGTGCCCACACATGAAGATGTAAATGCCTATGAGTTCCTTTTCCTTTTCCTCCTGTGCCTGGCTTTGACCCATCTGTGTGGCTTATCCTGGCAACTTTGGTGAAAAGGCTCTGGGTGGCTTTGCATAACAGGCAAGGTGGGTGAAGGCGTGTAACTTGAAATCCCTACTCGTTGTATTTTCTCAGAAGAGAGACCAGTTGAAATTGGCAGAGGCAAACTCCTGACCCCTGGAGAAGTTTCCTGCTGTCTGTTTTCCGGCTAGCCCCTCAAAGCCCTAAGGACCCTACACTCTAGGAAGCCCAAGTCAGTGGGAATGAGGAAAAGTCACGGATTTCTGGTTCCACACCCTCTACTTATACTCCAGTGGGCACAACTCACCATTCCCATTACAGGGGGTCTCTAGTGAAGGTGAGTGGTGCAAAGTACTCATTACTTTCGGGCCGTCTTGCTCTGGAGCATGTCTACATTTGAGGTTGGGCAAAAGCCCCTGCCTGCTGCACGCAGGGTTTGTGAATCAGATGGGACTGGGACACAGAACAAACGGGAAAAGTTTCCCCTGAAAATCTCACTGGTTATTCTGAGTAAAAGGCAAAAGTTAAGTCCTGACAGTGGCCTACAGGGCCGGACATGATCTGAGTCCCCTTCTCTTTCCTAACTTACAGCTTAGACTCCATGACCTGCTGCTACCTTCTCCCCTTTCACCTTCCTCACTCCAGCCACACTTGCCTTCTTGCTGGTCAGCTGCCAGGTATGCTCCCAGGGCAAGGCCTTTGTTCTTGTGATTCTGTCTGCCTGGAACCCTCTCCCCCTGAGATCTTTTCTCATGGCTCAGGACTTATCTCTCTTCGGATCTTTGTTAAGATGCCACCTGCTCATTCACTCTGAGAACGACCTGAAGACTGACTAGCAGAACAGCTCTTCCATTACTAAAGACAAAGATAAAGTCACATCGAGAAGGGTAGGAGGGGTAAAGACATAGTTAGGAACCAAACCCCTGGCGTGGTGACCCACAAGGAGGCATATTATAGGCATGGACGTCCTCCTTGAGGAGGGAGGGCTTCAAGCCCCACATTGCGCATCCCCCTCCTGGGGATCTGTACCAGGAGATGAGCCCCCATAATGTCTGGCCTTGAAAATCAGCAGGGCTTAACCCCGGGAGCTTTGAAAATCATCAGGGAGGCTTAACTTTAGGAGAGCTGCAGGGCTATAGAAACCATCTCTGCTCTTAAAGAGCCAGCATACGGTATCACTCTCTGACACCTAGCTCAGAGGCAGCAATTTGAACAGCACCTGGGCTATATGTGAAGGAGATTTCTTGACTAATTTTAGGGTGTGTACCATTTTTCTTTCCCTCCTTCACCCTATCTGGCTTGAGGCTGGTGGAACGCCAGTTCTCACGCTCTCCATCTACCTTGCTAGTACTGCTCACCTTGGCCCAGGGTTCCCCTGTGCACCTACCCTGCCCCAGAAGGCACCCTTTTAGAGCAGCTCTGTGCTGCCAACGGGTTTCAGCCCCGGGCAGGTTCACTCTTGATTTGGTGAGACCAAAAAATGACAGTGGCACATTCTTGGGGTGAAAGCGTTTATACCCAACTTTATTCCCACGGTGGCAGGTCAGTCACTAGAATCCCATCCACCTCAGAGCAAGTCTGCATGCAGCAAGCCGGTCTCTGCCTCCAGGCCTCTCTGCACCCCCAGCCGTCTCGGTCTCTGTCCTTGGCACTGCCACCACTCCAGCCTCTGCTCTCCTGCAGCCGTGCAGCCCAGAGCACTGGGCGGAGCTCTTTAGAGTCAATAATAGCCTATTTCCCACATGTGTGCAGTGAGCAAGCCGACCAGGGTCAGGTGAGAATACTGGCTGGCCATAGGAACTTTCATTTTCTCTACACTCCACCACTCCAGGATTCTCGCCTCTCAATCTATGCACCCTCAATCTTCTGCAATAGTCCCTGTGCAAGAAAGCTGGAACATTGCAACCAAATTCCACAATAAAAACAGAGGCTATGGCAATATACAAATAAGAAAACTTATGATACAGATAAAAGAAATTATATTATAAAAACCCTCAAGCCTGAGGAGATCCATTGCCACGGAGCGGTCATCCCAGCTCTATTCAGACCAGTTCTACTCAGAGGAGGTAACCACAAGGACCACGGGTGAGCCTTACAATACCCACCTTCCCCAGCCCCTAGAGGGCTTCACCAACCTCTCCAGCAGACACAGAAGCCGGTCTTGTACACGCTCTGTCTCTGGCTTCCATTTCTTGGCCCTCGCTTTAGCCAACTGCTGAAAACTGTGCTCCCGCTTCAGTTGCTGTCACAGCTCCGGTAAGAGTTTATTTGACTTCCCTTCTAATTTCCCTCTGTCTGCACCTGCCCCTATTAAATCAACGCACATCTGGGTCCTTGTGACCTTCACGGGCCCTTTAAATTCTCCCTCCGAGTAGTGGACCGTATTTCTTTCTGTGCTCTCATTGCTTCAGCCTCTCCCAAGTCTGCTCTGCTACTGTAAGGGAAACCTCACTTAGGGGTCACGCTAAGTGAGGGGCAAGAATGGCTACTAGGGACCCAAAGAAGGATGTGGGAGCCATCTGAAGCTCCACATTTCTCATCCCCACAGTTAAAGTGTACTCATCGGGGCCATAATTCTCTGGACTGCACGATGGCATCTTTCACGCCTACCTCCCCAAACACCTGTTGGAGCTCAGCATACATCTGCCATCTAGTGGGAAAGGATGGCAAATCACCCTAATCGGGCCAGACACTGTGACGAGTGGCCATAATCCAATCAAGGAGGGAGTGATTTTCTAGGGTCTGAAGTACATTTTGCAGTTGCTGCCTCAAGGCAGGCTAAGTCATCAGGGAAGACAGTTTTCCCATTTCTAAACCGGGCAGACGAATTCCATCAACAACTACATCCTTAAGATGCAAGAGACAGCCAAGCTGATACCCGACTCAGAGGACTTCTCCCTAAAGCGGAAGCCAAAATCCACCAGCTCAGCCTGAGTGTAGTGGCAGAGCATACAGTACTTCCACGACCTGCTGCGGAGGGGGCTGCACCTCTCCTGGAGGAACCCGTGGCTGCTGCATCTTCATTTGATTTTCTACAACCAGTGGGGCGGGGCGGGGGGGGCGGGGACGGGCTCTCCACCAGCTTTCAACCGGGTTGGCGCTTTCAACAGAGGAGGGGCTGATGCCTCCAGCACTGGCACGGCCCCCACCCCCACCTGTTTGTAAAACCTCGGCTCCTCCTTCATTTCTGGGGCTGACAGGCTCCACTATACCCTTCACCTCCCCCACAGCCGTTCACACTCTCATGCTGCTGCTTCTTGTGCTGCCATGACATCCTTTATCATTTCCACAGCACCTTGTAGTGACGCCATTTCAGTTATCAACAATTTTTTTACCTCCTCTAGAGCACCTCGCAGTTCATGTTCTCGTGCTGCCGCCTCTTCTCATGCTTCTTGCAGGAGGACGTCTTTCTCCCTTATGGCCTTTCTTAACACTGTGAGAAAAAGCCAGCCCACAGTTTCTGCCGCCTCATGGGCACTGTTTAAGGAATTCCCTACTTTGCTGAGGGCCAAAGCTCCACTGCCTCGGGTGTCACCTCCACCTCTCCCCAGTCTTGGGGTGGGACCCAGTCCTCTAGGAGGCAAGCTATGTCAGACCGTCCGTCCTTTGGGGGACACTCAAATGTCTCCCCATCCATAGATGCAGCCCGCTGAAGCGCTCTTCCCACGAGGGCAGCCTGTTTCATTCTTTGGTCCTGCAGTGAATCCTGCCAACATCACCAATGGTCTTGCCCATGGGTTTCAGCTCTGAACAAGTTCACTGTGGATTCAGTGGGACCGAAAAAATGACAGTGGAACATCCTTGGGGTGAAAGGGTTTATACCCAACTTTATTCCCATGGTGGCAGGTCAATCACTAGAATCTCATCCACTCAGAGAGTGGGCCTCTCTACCACCCACAGCTGTCTCAGTCTCTGTCCTCGGTGCTGCAACCACTCCAGCCTCTGCTCTCCTGCAGCCATGCAGCTCACAGCACTGGGCGGAGTTCTTTATATAGTCAGTAATAATGTATTGCCCACACGTGTGCAGGGAGCAAGCCAACCAGGGTCAGGTGAGAATCCTGGTCATAGGAACCTTCATTTTCTCTACAAGCTCCCACCGTGCCACCCTGGTAGGCAGCCTTGGTTGGGACCAATGTCCCCCCATTGTGGCTCCTACCCTACTACACCTGGTGGGCAGCCTTGGTCAGGACCAGTGCCCCCAAAGTGACTCCTGCACCTGGGAGGTGGGGGCGAGCCATGCCTACCAGCATGCCGAAAACAATCATGGCCAGGCCTTGCAGCCAGCTACACAGAGGGCTAACCGCACTAACCAGCATGCCCCCGCCACCTGTAGCCAGGTCCCTCAGCCAGCTGCACCTGGGGCCAGCCCTGCCCACCTCTCAATCTATGCAGCAGTCGTGGCCCAGTCACAATAGGAGGGCACAGGCAGCCCACACAGGGCACACTTGTGGACTGCTTGATTCTGGTGACCAGGCATGATTGTGCTACTGGCTCCCACAGGATGCCTTCCACAGAAAGGCACTACTTTCAAGACCAGGAGATGCAGCTGGCCTACCTGATGAATAAAAACAAACGCAGAGAGCCAGGCAAAATTAAGGGACAGAGGAGTGTGTTCCAAAAGACAGAAGAAGACAAAACCTCAGAAAAAAAGAGAACTAAATGGAGATAAAGAATCTACCGGATAAAGAGTTCAAAGTAATGGTCATAAAGATGCTTACCAGAGCTGGAAGAACTCAGAACTTCCAACAAAAGAAAACACAAGGAAGAATCAGAGCTGAAGAATACAGTAACTAAAATGAAAAATGCATGAGAGGGAATCAGAAACAGATTAGAGGGTACAGAAGAACAGATAAGTGATCTAGAGGACAGGACAGAGGAAATCATTCAAGCTGCAAAGAAAACAATGAGGATTGGTTAAAGGACCTTAAAGGACATCGCAGGAGTTCTTGTGTACTGTTGGTGGGAACGTAAATTGGTGCAGTTACTATGAAAAGTTCCTCAAAAGATTAAAATCAGAAATATCATACAACCCAGCAATTCCGCTTCTGGGTATTTACCCGAGGAAAATAAAAACACTAATTTGAAAATGTATGCGAACCCCGTATGTTTAACTGCAACATTATTTACAACAGCAAAGATACGGAAGCAACCTAAGTGTCCACTGATAAATGGATAAAGAAGATATATATGTACGCACGCACGCACGCACACACACACGAGTATTATTCAGCCATAAAAAGAATGACATTCTGCCATTTGCAACAGCATGGATGTGCCTACAGGATATTATGCTAAGTGAAATAAGTCAGGGAAAGACAGTATCATGTGATTTCACTTGCATGTGGAACCTAAAAAACAAAAATAACAAACCCAGAAACAGACTCATAAATACAGAGAACTGGTAGTTGCCAGAGGGGAAAGGATCGGGGGAATAGGTGAAATAGGTGAAGGGGATTAAGAAGTACAAACTTCCTGTTATAAAATAAAGGTCATGGATATGAAAAGTACAACAGAGGGAATATAGCCAATAATACTGTAATGCCTTTGTATGGTGACAGATGGTAAGTACACTTATTGTAGTGAGCATTTAGCAATGTATATAAACATCAAATCACCAGTGTACACCTAAAACTAATATATATATTTCAACTACAGTCCAATTAAAAATAAATACACGTTTTTAAATGTGCCATCTGTTCATTAAGGCCTTTCCTGGTCACCTCACCTAAAACTGCAACCCTCTCTCCTTCTCTTGATTTTTTATCCCTTAGCATTTAGCTCTACCTAAGATACTAGATTTTACATATTGACCCTATTGCCTTTCTTCCATGACCAGATCATATGGTCCATGAGGCAAAGACTTTTCATTTCTCTGTTTCCAGTCCCTAGAAAGGTCAGGTATACGCAGAGATGCTCTATAAATGTGTTAAATACATGAACAGATTTATTCTCTCCATACCACTCTGTCTTCACAGATGAAGAGCTTATCTTTTTTTTGTAGGGCTGTTATTGAGGACAGAGGTGATTAGAAAGCAGGTGACTGACAAGCTAAAAGCTCGCTCTATAAGCATAACTCCTCACATAAAATCACCTCATTCCTAGCCCTACTAATGCAGCAAGCCCTTGAAGTGAAGTCTGCCGTCTAGGTGCTAGGCATTTCTGATAGAAAGTTTTCTCAAGCTCAGTGCAGATTTCCCAAAGTCCACCATACCCCCAGGGGATGGCAAATTAGCAGTTCCCGTTGACGAAGCATTGTGATGTGCCCAGCACTGCTACGCATTCCACGTGCATTATCTCATTTAATCCTCACAAGAAATGTGTGTGTAGGTACATCAGCATACCAGTTTTACAGATGAGGAACCTTGAGGCTCAGAGGGGTCTGACAATTTGTCCAAAGTCTTTCTGAATTAAGCAGCAGAATGAAGTTGTGAGCATAGGTTTGTCTGATACACTTTTTCCACCATAGTAGGAAGAAGACTTTTGTGTTTCTGGGGAGGAAATAGGCACATTTATACATCTGCCAGTGGGCACAATAATTGGTTTTTTCTCCTTAGGAATGAAACCTGGCAACAAGAATACACAAATAAGGTCTTTATGAGGGAAAAAAATCAGAAAATCCCCAATGCCTAGCAGAGTTAAAATTATTTTTATAATGAAAATAAGACATCATTATTAAAAAAAAAAAACCCAGTGAGCAAAAAGACACAAAGTACAAAATGAAAGTTCCCCTGCCGCCTCCACAGTACCCAGTTCTAGTCCCTCAGAGGCCACTTACCATTGGTAACAGTTTTGTGCCCATAATTCCAGGTGCCTGTTGATTTTGAGTTGTTCAATAATATGTAATTGGCTAAGCCATCCATGGTAGAGTAGCACAATGAGATACTGCTTCCTGGAAGTGAGTGTATGAAGCAATGTTACGTAAAAATTACAAAACACAAGGACTAAGACACGTTCACTGGAGCTACATAAAAGTCGGCAGCCTGCACAGTGGTAAAAATGGGAAGACTGGCCTGATGGAGACTGTTGAGTTTAATGTATCTAAGGCTGCCTTAGTTAAAAGGGGGGAAAAAAACCTCCACTAAGACACCAAGTTGAGAGGACGAAAATCTTGGAATTGAGAATTCTGTGGGGGTGGCGAGAGAGCACTTAACTGGCTGCTTGGGAGCCCTGTGTCCCGGTCCCAGCTGTTGTTTTGGACTGTCCCGTCCCAAGCTAGGCCCTAGTATCCTCATCTGCAAAGTAAGGGCCTTTGTTATACGATCTCTAGGGACCATTCCGATGCTACAAAGTCTGTGATTGAGTGACAGATTAAACATTGGGGCTGAAAAAATATGCTGAGTCATATAGAAAGGATGGAAAGAAAGACATGCTCCAGTGGGCCTCAAGGGTCTGACTGTCAGACTCCTTCATTAAAAGGAATAATGATCTACATAAGCCATAGTCCCTGATCTCAAAGAATCTTGAGTCTGGTGCTCCACTCTGGCTGACTGAGACAGCCAATTGGGTGTTGTTTGAAATAAAGTAAGCTGAGGCAGAAGACCAATCTTTTTTTTTCTTCTTTTTTTTAAGAGGGCCACAAATCTTTTTACCATCTCCTCCCACTCTCCTTCCTCATATCACTGGGATTGTTAAGACAATCCTACTTCCTTCTGTGAACCTTCATCTTCTGGATATTTTTTGATTTGGAAGCTTCCTGTGCTCCAATAGCCAGCCCAAGGGGGTTCAGTTGAACTGACCTTGTTTAATACCTACAGTATTCAAGGCCCTTGCGCTAAAAATCAGGGCTGCATTATGACTTCTGTGGGACCCAGATGCTAGCAAGACTGTGCCTTGCAGGGGGAGGCTTCTCCCAGGGTGGAGACACAGGGTGTGAGGGATCTAGGTGATCCTATTGCCCGACTCACTCCTTTTCTGACCTTATTTGATCAGCCACCTATGGCTGCAATGAAGTGAGTCTGATTTTCAAAAGCAGCTTGTGAAACCAGCCTTATTACTTTCTAGTCACACCTGCGGGTCTCCCTTGCCTCCCAAGTAAGGGTCTGGAAGGTCAGTGTGTGTGCGGTGTGTATGTACACATACACATCTGAGTGTGCACCTCTGCATTCAAAGCCCAATCTTTAGTCATGTCTGCATTACTCATTTCATTTCAGCTCCACCTTTTCTCTCCTTCATTTGTGGAAATAATTGGGATGTGCCTCCAGCTTGAATCTCAATAAAAAATGTTAGAAATGGACTCCAGAAGCAAGGCTGTAACTCCTACTGTTGTGACTGTTGTGCACTGCCTTTATCTAGAGGATGTGAACGCAAGTCTGCTTTGGTTTCTCTGTGTACTTTCTTTTTTCTATGAAACAGACTTGGGAGCATCAAGACAACTGGCTGCACTACACAGAACTCATAGAGAGGAAAGACTTGATTCACAGCTTCCACTACATCTACTGTGTACGCTGGAGCAGTCCAACTGCTTCAAGACCCATGACACAAGTTGGTGCTGCTGCCTTCTTCACCATCAAGGTCTTCAAAAGCAAACCAGTAGGTGCTCCTTTCCTGCCCTGTCCCCTTTGACGAGCCTCCAATGAGAATGCAGACCTCTGCTGAGGTCACTGATGACCCCTTCTTTGTAAAACTTGAGTCATATTTCTGTCCTCATCTCGCTTGGCTTATCTGCAGCACTTGCCATAGCTCATCACTCACTCCTCCACGACACATTCCATTTTGCTTCTAGAGCAACGTACCCTCCCGGTTTTCCTTCTGCCTCACCATTGCTCTTCAGTCTCTACTGGTTTCTCCTCCTCCCATTAACCTCTTCATGTTGGAATGTCCCAACACTCGGGCCTTGGACCACCTCCTCCTTACTCATACTTCCCTGATGATCTTATCTAGTCTCTTGACTTGAAATGCCACCTTGAGATTATGATCCCCAAATTTGCATCTCCAGCCCAGATCTCTGAGCTTGGATGTTTGACGGACATCTCACTTACTGTATCCAAAACCGAACCTCTTCTGATTTTCCCTTCCAAACCTGACCTACCTGCATCTTTCTCACCTCAGCTGATGGCTGACATCCTTGGCATCATCCCTGACGCTCTCACATCCCTCATTCAATCCATCAGGAAATCCTGTCGGCCTTACCTTCAAAAATAGGTCCCGAACCCAACAATTTCTTTCCACTCCACTTCTACCTCCCTGGTCCAAGACACCAACATGTCTCACCAAGATTATTCCAATAGCCCTCTAACCCATCTTTCTGCCTCCACCTTTGCCCTCATCACGTGTCTTTTCAACACAGTAGTAAGCCAGAGTAAGCCTTATAAAATGAATTTATGTCACTCCTCTGTTTAAAATGTTCCAACGTGTTTCCCAAACTTCAGCATGCATACACATTACTTGGTGATCTTGTCAAAAGGAAGATTCTGTTTCAGCAGGTCTGGGCTGGGGCTTGAGATTCTGCATTACTAAGAAGCTCCGAGGCAATGCTCATGCTGCAGGTCCACTGACTAAGCTTTGAGTAGTGAGACCCACAAGGCCTTCTATGATTTGGCCTTTGTTATTTCTGCTTTCCCACTCCTCCTCCCTCACTTACTGTGCTCCAGCCACTCTGATCTTGCCACTCGTTAATAATCCGGTTATAGTCCTGCCTCAGGGCCTTTGCACTTGCTGTTGCCGCTGACTGGAACACGCCCCTAGGTATCTGCGTGGCCTGCTCTCCCACCTCCTACACCACACTTTCTGTTCTCACCCCACGTTTTTCCACATAACATTTTATCACCTTCTGGTATTCTGTGTAATTTGTTATCTTGTTACTGTCCGTTCCCTCAACCAGAAACTAAGCACCACAAAGGCAGGGATTTTTGTCTTGCTGTAAAACAAGGCCTGGCAAACAGGCCCTCAAGAAATACTTGAAGCAATGACTGCATGTAGCCACTAGATAGACCAAAATTATGAAATATGTTGGTAGCTGGTATGAAAGGAAATAAAATAACATCTATGAATCCTGCGTCAGGGTCCTCAGAGGAGCAGGGCCGGTACCAAGCATAAAGCCTCGAACACAGCAGACATAAAAACGCTACTTCCCCCCCTGTTCTTTATATTCTCTCACAGAAGTTATTTGAGGCTTTGCCTGACTCTAAGGCTTTATTTATACGTGACCACACAGTGAGCCAACCACACCCTATATTCATCCCATCCTAGTACAAACTTACCTATTCAGAGTTTGTAACCTGGAATAGTCCAAAGAGGTAAAACATGTGGAGCTCTCACTTCTCCTGATCACAGATCCTGTCATCGGCTGTCTTGCTAACTGGCAGGGTTAGAAATCAGTAGTAAGGCTGGTGGAGGTAAGCAAGACCATGACCAGAGACCACACAGAGAGAGGGCTTAGGAGAAGGGCTCTTGCTCACAATGGCAAGTATAATTTTGAAGGGGGAATGGGTGGGGACCACTGAGATAATACTACAACTTACATTTTGATGCTGCTTTGTAAGTGTTTTTGAACCTTGTTCACCTATATTATTTCATTCTTATGCCATTCCTAAGAGGTAAAGTAGATACTGTCAGTTGAGCCAACTGAAACATGGAAAGAAGGTGAATGACTGACTTACACTCCTGTTAACAAGGAGCACAAGCCTCTCCTGACTTGTTTCTAAGTTTGTGGAGATTTTTAAGGTGTCTGTTGCCAAAAAGATCTTTTGGGAAACAAAAGTTTGAAGTGACAAAGAACTACCATCTAGAGACTCCCAATTCGTAAGGAAGACGAATTGCAGAAATGTAAGAGTAAACGTACGGACAAGTGTAGGCATGGAGGTAGTTAGGAGTTGGTAAGACCTACGTTGACAGTTGTCCTTTCCTCTCGTAGGATATACCCATTGAAGTCTCTTACATCTTTGAGGACCATTCATTAGTTCACAGGTAATGAACATTTGGAGACTTATTTTGAAAGGGTGGTTGGAAAAAGGTCATCACACTCCAGGAATCGAGCAGGCCTACAGCCAGAGATAACTCACATCACGGTCACCTCTCTTCTTTGGACCACCTTCCCCATTAGGATGGCTGAAAGGATTCTGCATTTTTGTGGGGTTTTTTTGTTTTTTTTGATGTCTCCTCTGTCGGTGGTTAGAAACTTGAGGATTGGCTGTTTGGAGCAGGGTGGGGCAAAAATGGGTCACATCTGCTGTTTCTATGGGAAACTTCACAATCGTACGGTATCAGCTTAGATAACAATCCCTTTTATTTGTAGAGCACCTCTCTTAAAAATCTTTACATATAAGCTCACTAATCCTTTTCTCGACTGAGCCTAAGAAATTGAGACAACCTTCACCTCCGAACCCCTAAAAAGCTTCCTGCTCACAGAGAATGTAACAGAGAAAATAGGGAATTAATGCCTGGCTCAATATTTTGTTTCATTTTTAAAACTTTTGGTGTGTTTGTTTTTCTTCCTTCCTCTGCAGACCAGGAATGACTTGCTTTCAAGGAAAATGGCCGAAGGACATTACTGAGTCCAAAAACACTCTAATGGAGTCAATTGACTTCTAACGCGATTGTGTCTGATTCTCAGAGAATGTTTTAGGATTGGATTTCTAGTCAGAATGTATTAAAAAATACAATACAGTACATCAAACCACAGAATATTTATTGAATAATAAAACTTGTGGCACATTAACCAGCTGTGTTTTTTTGTATTCATTCACTTTCCATTTGGCAACTTCTGTCACATTAGCACAGTAACCAGTAAGTTGTTTTCTGCTTTCTAAAAGGTTTTTACCATCACTGTCTGTATCACTCAGCCTTAGAGAACAGAAACTGAGCTTGGACAGTTACTAAGATTTGTCATATCATCGAAGTTATCAAATGTATTAGCATACATTTGTTTATGGTATTCATTTATAATCCTTTTTATTTATGTAAGGTCAGCAGTATATCTGTAAGATCAGCAGTAATGTCCCGTCTTTCATTTCTGATTCTAGTAATTTGAATCTTCTCTTCCATTTTTTTGGTCAGTCTAGCTAAAGGTTGGCCAATTATATTGATCTTTTCTGAGAACCAGCTTTTGGTAGCATTGGTTTTCTCTATTGTTCTTCTATTCTCTTCATTAAATTCCACTGTAATCTTGATTATTTCTGCTTGCTATAAGTTTAGTTGGAAAAGATTTTTCCAGTATCTTAAAATGAAAGGTTAGGTTATTGATATGATTTTTTTTGAGTGCATACCCATGCAGCAATATTTTGTCATTTTATTCAGTTAGTCTAATCATTACAAAACTATATTATACATATTACATAATTATATAAGACACTTTATGTATATATATATAATACTTCTTGTCTTAAAGTCTACTTTACTTAATATTAGATGTATACCACCTTTCTCTATGGTAATAATTACATTGTATATTATTTTCTTCTTATTTTTACTTTTCAGCAGCTTTTAATGAAGAATATAATTTATAAAAAGCATATATTTGAGGTTTCTTTGTTTGCCCATTCTGATAAGCTTTTTAATTTAATTATACTATTATGTGATTTACATTTATAATATAACTATTTAATTATTTATATTTAATATAATTTCTGCTCTAGCCAACATTAAATCTTCCATGTTGGATTTTGTGTTCTACTTATTCCCTATTTTCTTTGTTTTTTTATTCTTTCTTTCTGATTCCTTTTTTTTTGGTATCATTAATCTACAATTACATGAGCAACATTATGTTTACTAGACTCCCCCCATCACCGAGTGCCCACCACATACCCCATTACAGTCAGTGTCCATTAGCGCAGTAAGATGCTGTAGAATCACTACTTGTCTTCTCTGTGCTATATACCCCCCCATGCCCCACCCCACATTATGCATGCTAATCATAATGCCCCCTTTCTTTTTTCCCCCCCTTATCCCTCCCTTCCCAACCCTCCTCCCCAGTCCCATTCCCTTGGTAAATGTTAGTCCATTCTTGGTTTCTGTGAGTCTGCTGCTGTTTTGCTCCTTCAGTTTTTTCTTTGTTCTTATACTCCACATATGAGTGAAATCATTTGGTACTTGTCTTTCTCCACCTGGCTTATTTCACTAAGCATAATACCCTCTAGCTCCATCCATGTTGTTGCAAATGGTAGGATTTGTTTTCCTCTTATGGCTGAATAATATTCCATTATGTATATGTACCACATCTTTATCTATTCCCCTAATGATGGACACTTAGGTTGTTTCCATTTCTTGGCTATTGTAAACAGTGTTGTGATGAACATAGGGGTGCATATGTCTTTTTCAAACTGAGCTGCTGCATTCTTAGGGTAAATTCCTAGAAGTGGAATTTCTGGGTCAAATGCTATTTCTATTTTTAGTTTTTTGAGGAACCTCCATACTGCTATTCACAGTTCTTGAACTAATTTACATTCCTACCAGCAGTGTAGGAGGGGTTCCCCTTTCTCCACATCCTCGCCAAGATTTGTTGTTGTTTGTCTTTTGGATGGTGGCTATACTTACTGGTGTGAGGTGTTATCTTATTGTGGTTTTAATTTGCATTTCTCTGATGACTAGTGATGTGGGACATCTTTTCATGTGCCTGTTGGCCATCTGAATTTCTTCTTTGGAGAAGTGTCTGTTCAGCTCCTCTGACCATTTTTTACCTGGACTATTTGCTTTATGTTTGTTGAGTTGCATGAGCTCTTTATATACTTTGGATGTCAACCCTTTATCAGATCTGTTGTTTATGAATATATTCTCCCATACTGTAGAATGCCTTTTTGTTCTGTTGGTGGTGTCGTTTGCTGCAGAAGCTTTTCAGCTTGATATAGTCTCACTTGTTCATTTTTGCTTTTGTTTCCCTTGCCCGGGGAGATATGTTCATGAAAAAGTTGCTCATGTTTATGTCCAAGAGATTTTTGCCTATGTTTTTTCTATGAGTTCTATGGTTTCATGACTTACATTCAGTTCTTTAATCCATTTCAAATTTACTTTTGTGTATGGGGTTAGAAAATGATCCAGTTTCATTCTCTTACATGTAGCTGTCCAGTTTTGCCAACACCAGCTGTTGGAGAGACTGTCATTTCCCCATTGTATGTCCATTACTCCTTTATCATATATTAATTGACCATGTATGCTTGGGTTAATATCTGGAGTATCTATTCTGTTCCACTGGTCTATGGGTCTGTTCTTGTGCCAGTACCAAATTGTCTTAATTACTGTGGCTTTGTAGTAGAGCTTGAAGTAGGGAAGTAAGATCCGCGCTGCTTTGTTCTTCCTTCTCAGGATTGCTTTGGCTATTCAGGGTCTTTTGTGTTTCCATATGAATTTTAAAACTATTTGTTGCAGTTCATTGAACAATGCTGTTGGCATTTTGATAGGGAGTCCATTTAATCTGTAGATTGCTTTAGGAAGGATGGCCATTTTGACTATATTAATTCTTACTAGCCAAGAGCATGGGATGAGTTTCCATGGGGTTAATTTCTCTTTAGAGTCTCCCATAGTTTTCAGGGTATAGGTCTTTCACTTCCTTGGTTATGTTTATTCCTAGGTTTTCTATTCTTTTTGATGCAATTGTGAATGGAATTGTTTTCCTGATTTCTCTTTCTGCTAGTTCATTGTTAGTGTAAAGGGCTGCAACACATTTCTCTGTATTAATTTTGTATCGTGCAACTTTGCTGAATTCAGATATTAGTTCTAGTAGTTTTGAAGTGGAGTCTTTAGAGTTTTTTATGTCGAATATCATGTCACCTGCAAATAGTGACAGTTCGACTTCTTCTTTACCAATCTGGATGCCTTGTATTTCTTTGTTTTGTCTGATTGCCATGTCTAGGACCTCTAGTACTATGTTGAATAGCAGTGGGGAGAGTGGGCATCCCTGTCTTGTTCCCGATCTTAGAGGAAAAGGTTTCAGCCTCTCGCTGTTCAGTATGATGTTGCCTGTGGGTTTGTGATATATGGCTTTTATTATGTTGAGGTACTTGCCCTCTATATTCATATTGTTGAGAGATTTTATCATGAATGGATGTTGAATTTTGTCGAATGGCTTTTTGGCGTCTATGGAGATGGTCATGTGGTTTTTGTCCTTCTTTTTGTTGATGTGGTGGATGATGGTGATGGATTTTCAAATGTTGTACCATCCTTGCATCCCTGAGATGAATCCCACTTGGTCATGGTGTGTGATCCAATGTTTCTAGAAAGTTGTCCATTTCTTCTAGGTTTTCCAGCTTTTTCGCATATAGATTCTCATAGTGTTCTCTAATAAATCTTTGTATTTCTGTGGGGTCTGTCATGAGTTTTCCTTTTCCATTTCTGATTCTGTTGACGTGTGTAGATTCTCTTTTTCTCTTAAGTAGTCTGGCTAGGGGCTTATATATTTTGTTTATTTTCTCAAAGAACCAGCTCTTGTTTTCATTGATTTTTTTCTATTGTTTTATTCTTTTGAATTTTATTTATTTCTTCTCTGATCTTTATTATGTACCTCCTTCTGCTGACTTTGGGCCTCATTTGTTCTTCTTTTTCCAGTTTCAGTAAGTGTGAGTTTAGACTACGCATTTGGGATTGTTCTTTCTTTATTAAATAAGCCCAGGTTGCTATATACTTTCCAATTAGAACTGCCTTTGCTGCATTGCACAGAAGTTGGGCCTTTGTGCTGTTGTTGTCATTTGTTTCCATATATTGCTGGATCTCTTTTTCAATTTGGTCATTGATCTATTGATTATTTAGGAGCATGTTGTTAAGCCTCCATGTGTTTGTGAGCCTTTTTGTTTTCTTTGTACAATTTATTCTAGTTTTATACCTTTATGGTCTGAGAAGTTGGTTTGTAGAATTTCAATCTTTTTTGATTTACTGAGGCTCTTTTTGTGTCCTAGTATGTGGTCTATTCTGGAAAATGTTCCATGTGTGCTTGAGAGAAATGTGTATCCTGCTGCTTTTGGGTATAGAGTTCTGTAGATGTCTATTAGGTACATCTGTTCTAGTGTGTTGTTCAGTGCCTCTGTGTCCTTACTTATTTTCTGTCTGGTGGATCTGTCCTTTGGAGTGAGTGGTGTGTTGAAGTCTCCTAGAATGAATGCACAGCATTCTGTTTCCTCCTTTAATTCTGTTAGTATTTCTTTCACATATGTTGGTGCTCCTGTGTTGGGTGCATATATGTTTATAATGGTTATATCCTCTTGTTGTACTGACCCCTTTATCATTGTTTAATGCCCTTCTTTATCTCTTGTTACTTTCTTTGTTTCGAAGTCTATTTTGTCTGATACAAGTACTGTAACACCTGCTTTTATCTCCCTATTGTTTGCATGAAATATCTTTTTCCATCCCTTGACTTTTAGTCTGTGTGTGTCTTTGGGTTTGAGGTGACTCTCTTGTAGCAGCATATAGATGCGTCTTGCTTTTTTATCCATTCTATTACTCTGTGTATTTTGATTGGTGCATTCAGTCCATTTACATTTAGGGTGACTATTGAAAGATATGTGCTTATTACCATTGCATGCTTTAGATTCGTGGTTACCACAGTTTCAAGGGTAGCTTCTTTACTATCTAACCATCTTAGTTAACTTGCTTATTAAGCTATTATAAACACAGTCTGATGATTGTTTATTTCTCTCCCTTATTCTTCCTCCTCCTCCATTCTTTGTATGTTAGGTGTTTTATTCTGTACTCTTTAGTGTTTCCTTTGACTGCTTTTGTGAGTAGTTGATTTTATTTTTTGCCTTTAGTTAGTATTTGGTTGGTCTGCTTTCTTTGCTCTGATTTTATTTTCTCTGCTGACATCTATTTAGCCTTAGGAGTGCTTCCATCTAGAGCAGTCCCTTTAAAATATCCTGTAGAGGCGCTGT